GATTCAGAGGTATTAAAGTTCCCATAGTGAACTTTTAAAAATGCCTGGATATGGGGGGAGGGTGTTGGAGAAATGGATCAGCTGTTAAGAGCACTGGCTGCTTTTCCAGATGTCCTGAGTTCAATTCCCAGCAACCACATAGCAGCTCACTACCATCTATAATGGAGTCTGATGCCCTCTTCTAGTGTGCAGGCATACATGCAGATAGAGCACTCATACATAAATTAAAGGTTTTTTTAAAATGCCTGGATGTGACGAATTGGGAATGCTCAGACCACGTTAGGTGTCCATTGCATTGGAAAAACTGGAAAGTATAGATGAACACTTGAACAGTAGCCTGAGCTGGACCTTGTATATCAAGATGGAAGTAGAGACATGCATGTTGAGAGGGAGAACGTGTACATGGCCTCTGGGATTATGGAGAGCGGTAACTGAAACCTGATTAAACTTGGAAGGCAGGATGTGGAGGGCCTCATGTGATTTAGCTGGTTGAGAGGAGTGACTCTATGTCAAACATCAAGCTTTGATGGGGTCCATTTGTCCACTTCCCTTTTGTTGCTCCATGTTGAACCCAACCTTCAGTGGGATCATAAGCAGAAGGTGTGTATCAGTGGCCCCAGGGCCTGGTACCCTCAGAGGTAGGAAAATAAACTTCCGTGTCTGTTGAGCAACCATGATGACTGGTGTTCCAATCCCAACACCCACATAACAAACTCGGCTTCGTGTAAACCTCTGCTACTCCAGTTCTGTGGGGTCTGAAACCTTGTTCTGTCTCCCATTATTCAGTTGCAAACTCAGAGGTGCAAACATGCGGACATCCGCTCACACATCAACTCACTGATAAATCAATAGACCAAATACTTTAAGAATATCGCAACATGATGTTGATGTCAAAACCTACTGGGAGTGGCTGGATGCAGAACTCAGCTGGTAGAAATCTTGCCTAGTATGTGCACACCTTGGAATTTGAGCTCTATCAACACCACCCCAAAGGGGTGGACCACACACTCAAGAAGTAGAGGCAGGTGCACCAGAAGTTCAAGGTCATCCTTAGCTACATCGCAAGTTTGGTTGACCCAAGGCTACATACAACCTTATCCAAAAACAACAATTAAACACACACACAAGGAAAGGGGTAGATTAAGAGTTCAAGGGTGTTGGGAGTACAAAGGTCTTTGTGCCCACAGATCTTTGGGGAACCCAAGAATATAAAGCACCCAGGATTGTTCTTTCAAAGGGAAGGACATAAAACCTGTTTTTCCAGAAAGCTAGGAATTAGGAGTAATTAATAGCCTGGTGATCTGCATCATCTGTTGGGTCAGGCCATATCAAGCTCCTACAACCAGGACTAGAGATACCTAGTAGTCTAAATGACCCTAATATTATCTATATAGAAAGAGGCTCCACCAAGCTCCCACAACCAGGACCAGATGTGGCTAATAGCCAAAAATGACCTCTATGGTATCTGTATGACCGAGACCCAGGCCAGATCCTTCCTTAGGGCCTTAAGCTAGTACAGGTAGCCTATCACTAGAACCCATCTTTTTGGAAGAAATGACATGTACCGTGAGTCAAGTTCCAATGTAAATACGATTTCTTGTGCACCAGGGAAAACTTTTTTTCCCCCTAAATTAAAGTGTTTAAATTTGTTGGGAATACACAGCCTGAGATCAGACTCCTTGAGTCTTGACCCAGGTTGACAGTCAATCTGATTGAGTTTTCATTAGCACCTTTTTGTGGTTCACTTCCTTGCTGTGACCACCTGTGGGGTCCCCCTTGCAAAAGCAGTCTAAAAATCAGAAGGACACTGAAGCTTATAAAGAAAACTCACTAAACGTATTCAACCCAACTTGTTTTTGTTTAAGGCTGTGTCCTGGAATTTATTGCACAAATTCAAGGAGATATATGTGAATGCAACAAGGAGACAATTTTATATGAAGAAAACGACAATGAAAAGTAAGTAGTGTGTTATGTCTTCTATGATGGTGTTCTTACAGTTCTACATATACATACCTGTTTATATAGCCCATTTGTTTAATCCTGTAGCAACATTAAACCCCCTTCAAAATCTATTCCTGTATTTTAATGTGCTTGCACATTCAATGAAATGTTCCTGAGAAGTTTTTACATTGTATTAAAAAATTATTTTAGATTCATTTATTTTATCATTTCATATGTCCGAGTGTTTGACCTGAATATATGTATTGTATATGAGCCATGTGCATGTCTGATTCCTCAGTGCCCTCGGAGGTCAGAAGAGGGCATTGGATCCCCTGGAACGATAGCCGTAACAGTTAGTGGATACCAATTGGGTGCTGGGAATCAAACTGGGGTCCTCTGCAAGATCAGCAAGTGCTCTTAACCTGGGTGCCAACCCTCAAGCTCCCTGCAATTGCTTTTGTTGTTGTTGTTGTTGTTGTTGTTGTTGTTGTTGTTAGCAGACAGTCTTCAGGTTCAGCCAGTTGGACTGGAGCAGCTCCCGAGGCTCTTTTGTGCTCCCTCACATACCTGAAAAACTCCCGAGATGGACTCACTGGGTATTTTATAGTCAATCTGTTGGTGTCTTTATTGTTTTCCCTACTGTCTGTGTTAATCTCTCTAGGTGATATCCTCTTATCTCTGGATTCTGAATTTCCTGCAGATTTTACTATGAATTTTGCTATGACTGTACTTTATAACATGTATATCAGATTCACTGTGAAAGTCCATGCCGTGGTGGCCAGCTCCACTTTATGGCTCAGATGAGAAGAGTAGTCTAGAATCTACTTTTCTAATGTGTTTCAAGACAATGATTTATCTATTATTATTATTATTATTATTGTTGTTGTTGTTGTTGTTGTTGTTGAGACAAGGTCTTCCTATATAGCCCTAGCTGGCCTTGGGCTCACTATGTAAACCAGGCTATCCTCACAGAGATCTCAGGCTTCTGCCTCTCCTGAGTACTGAGATAAAAGATCTGTTGCTACCACATCCAACTTAATGATTTATTATTTCCTGTTTGATTTAAGAAGGTGAGGCTTCCCACTCACTGTCCCACTGCTTTACAATGCCAGTCGCACCTCATCGTCAGCTCTTCCTCATAGCACACCGTGGTCTTACAGAAAGGGGGCTAGATACAATGAGCACTGCAGGAAGAACAAAAATGGTAGAGCTTTCCCTACCATGTCTCGTAGTAGCAATGTGGATTCCCACTCCTTCCAGAATCAACACTCACCATCCAGTTCCAGGATGTTCCAGAATGACAGGAATATTTCATTAGCTCTTGTCTTCTGGAGTCCCCTTAAATCTGCAGAGGTTGATCATTACTTCATACAGAGATGAGAGTCAGGAGAATCCAAGAAATCATAGTGGAGTCCAAGGCAACAGAATAATATAAAATGAAGTTTTAGCATTTCTTCTGTCCACAGCAGCGGCTGCATCCTGCCCATCTGTGGGGAGTTGGTTCTGAATTCAGAAACAGTGGAATGGTGGTAATGTGGAAGAGGGAAGGATGCAGGGGACCGTGTGTGTGTGTGTGTGTGTGTGTGTGTGTGTGTGTGTGTGTGTGTGTGCTGGCTTATGGATCTGTCTTTTTTGCTCTGCCATAACGGACACCTCCTAGGCCCGTGAGAAAAGACAGGAATACAGATGGAGGAGAAAAGGAAAGTGCATCTTTTTTTTTTTTTTTTTTGGTTTTTTCGAGACAGGGTTTCTCTGTGTAGCTTTGCGCCTTTCCTGGAATTCGCTTTGGAGACCAGGTTGGCCTTGAACTCACAGAGATCCACCTGCCTCTGCCTCCCAAGTGCTGGGATTAAAGGCGGAAAGTGCATCTTGGTTCCTACCTCAAACCTCTGAACTAGAAGTAGATTCACTGAGAGAGCCAAGCAGACACTCATTCTTCTGTCAGAGATCAGGCCTCAGTTTCAGTTTCCTGAGACTGAGCAAGCAGTTTCTGAAAGAATCACAAACAATGGACAATCAATCTTCAATGCCCCTGACAGCAGGGACGAGGGAAATAGCATATACCAAGCCTGGGCCATCCCCTACAGTATCTCAAGGCAAGGACCAAAATGATCAAATGTCCAAAGGGACAAATCTTCTACCTCTGCCCCCTTGGAACTTGACCAAACTTGCCCAAAGATGGTAAAACTATAGCCCTAGCCAATTAGAAGTGTACTAACATAGTTGTCCCTTGCTTAAGCCAATCATAGATAGGATGACCTAACTGCTTCTAGAATTCCCTTAGCTATGTATAAAAGGTGCCTGTGAGCTTCTCTTGAGGTCGCCATTTTGCCATTGGGCCTTTGCATTTCTCTTACTCTTTTTTTTTTTTTTTTTTTGGTTTTTCGAGACAGGGTTTCTCTGTGTAGCTTTGTGCCTTTTCCTGGAACTCACTTGGGCTCTTGAGAATTATATGCTCTTGCTGATTGTAAAAAAAAAAAAAAAAAAAAAAAAAGTGCATTTTGGAATCGCGGAGACTTGTTTCCCGAATTCGGACTGTTTTCACATTTTTTTTTTTTTTTCTTTTTCGAGACAGGGTTTCTCTGTGTAGCTTTGCGCCTTTTCCTGGAACTCGCTTTGGAGACCAGGCTGGCCTCGAACTCACAGAGATCCGCCTGCCTCTGCCTCCCAAGTGCTGGGATTAAAGGCGTGTGCCACCACCGCCCGGCTTGTTTTCACATTTTTACACACCAGATAAGACAGTGTCACCATTGGCTTTTAAGGAAATTTGGGAATGCATACCCGATTCAGACCCACGAATCCGCCTTACTGTGGCCTTGATGATCAGGGAAATGGAAACACTGGCGCATCTGGAACCACTACAGTGTCTGCAGAAGTCCCTTTAACTCCTTGCATACCGCTTCTATAGCTTCCATCTCTTTGGCTATGTCCTTGTTTCCAGGGTGCATGTTGTCCGAACTACATTACCCAGAAGAGACAGCGCAGAAGGGCTCAGCCAATGAAAACTGGCGATTCCGCGGGCTTTAACAAAAAGAAGAAGAAGAAAAAAAAAAAAAAAAGACAAGACAAAAAGGCATTGGGACTTAGTGGTTGTGGGCAAGTGATTGTTCTCCTGGATGCTCGTGTCAGGTCAGTGGAAAACTGATTTTTTTTTACACCTCGTTGTCCAGGAAGAGGAGGCTTGAGAGGAGCGAGGCGTTGTGCACTAGCACCCAGACGGGTTTGAAGTCTGCGACGATCCCGTGTGACAGGTTGCACGCCTAGTGAGGACAGCCATGTCTATGGATCCAGCTGTCCAACAGAGTCAGGCTGTGGTGGCTGGGCAGGGAGCCCAGGCACAGGTGCGTACCACGTGATCACACCCCCGGTTCTTGAGTTAATGAAGGCTTGGCACAGGGTTCTCAGGCACGTCCACTAACGAGCCTGGGAAGATTTGTGAGTGTAAGACATGTTCGGGGCCACAGAAGCCTGGGCAGCTTTTTGGGTTGGGTTCTGGTGTGTTTGAAGACGGGATCCCATAAAGCACAAACTGGCCTCAAACTCATAAACCTCCTGTTACAGCCTCCCAGACGCTGGGATTACAGACATGTGCCCCCATGGTCCACTACTTGAACAACCAACTTACCTACCTTCCTTTATTACCTCCCTCCCTCCCTCCTTCCCTCCCTCCCTTACTGGCTCCCGTTTTCTCTTTTTGTTTGAGGCAGGGTCTCACCGTGTAGCACTGGCTGGTCTGGAAGTTGTTACATGAACCAGGCTGGCTTTGAACTCAAAGAGGTTTGCTCGTCTCTGGCATGGGTCACGCCTGGCCCCAATCTCTCTTCTTTAAAAACATATGTGTGTGTGTGTGTGTGTGTGTGTGTGTGTGTGTGTGTGTGTGTGTGTGTTGTGTTTGCCTTCGTGTATGTGTGCGTTTGGGGGCAGGAGGGTCCATGCATGCTTTGGCACAGGTACAGAGGACACAGGACAATTTTTGTTGATTTTTTTCTCTCCATCCACTTTCATGTGGGATCTGGGAATTGAACTTAGATCATCTGATTTTTCTTCAGCGAGCTCATTTACCCACCAAACCATTCTACCAACCCAGACCTGGATTAATTTTACAGTCCTCAGATCTCACATTTTCCCTCCCCAAGAAAGAAATTACTATAGACTGGGTCAAGTTTCCCCTTGGGGCTCTGCCAAGGTTCTCTCGTTCCAGCTTGCCCAGTCTGGGTCATCACTGCCTGGGGTGTCTGTCTGCTCTGCTGCTTCCCTAATCCACTCAGCTCTGGGCTGAAGAAGAAAAGCTGAAGGTTTATTATTACTTTATGGTCCTGAGAGTGGAACCCAGGGTCTCATGAATAGTTATCAAGCCCTCTATATTGAGCCTCATCCCCAATCCTTGACTGGTGGCTGGTACTACACAGCTGAGCCACAGTCAGCTCCAAGGATGGAGTCCTGTGATCTGATGTGGTATTGACTGGTGTCTGAAGGACTGGACATTGCTAGAGTATGAGGATTCTGGATTGTGATTGAGACATGGCTGTTGGTGAGATAGATTCGTCTCAGTAGGCTTTCATTGCCACTCCTTGTGGAGAAAAGGAAGGTCAGTCATGCACTTGGCACAAGTAGCCTATCTGTGCCTCACCTCCTCAGCCTTATGCAGAGGAATGATCCTCTGTCCCTATGAAAGGACCCTAGCAGAATTCCCTCCTTGGGGCACACTGACCAGCCAGTTAGCTGAAGTCTAAAGCCTGATTTCTCAGGCTCTGTTTATTCACTCTGATCTGATGAGTACCTGTTGAAACAGTATTTGGTCAAGAATCACATATAAATGGTTGATTAAATAAACCACATATAAATGGTTGTTTAAAACAGCATGGAAATAAGCACTTAACAATTGCTTGAAAACACATTCTGCATTTGATTAAAGCCTAATGCGTTAAGTATCACATTCTTTTATCTGATTGCTTTCTCACTTGTTTTTATGTGTATGAGTGTTTTGTCGGCATGTCTGTCTGTCTTTGCACCACTTGTGTGCTTGGTGCCTGCAGAGTCCAGAAGAAGGTATTGGATCCCCTGGGATTGGCGTTACAATGTAAGCTACCATGTGAATGCTGGGAATCAAACCTAGGTCTTCTGTTCTGAAAGAGCAACCAGTGTTCTTAATAGCCGAGCCATCTCTCGGACCCCAAATATCACATTCTTAAATAAGTGTATATAAATCAAATGCATGGTTTATGAAAACATGCCCACATATTTGGTTTTGAGGGGGAAATGATTAGTTCTTTGAGAATTTCTTTCACTGTCTTTTAATCATATTCATCCCCTCCTCTAGGTCCTCCCAGACCCACCTGCTTCCCTATCCAAACCATCAAGTCCAGTTTGTGTTAGCTATATACTCTTGGGTATATAGCCTTCTACTGGAGTTTGGTTGACTTACCAAGAACTATACTCTTAAAGAAAACTAACTCATGCTCTCCCAATAGCTATCATCTGACAAGAGCTCTTTGGTAAAGAGTGGGACTTTGTGTCTAATGACCCTTTCCATGGTCTGGCTTGACTATGCCCAACTCTTGTGTATGCTGTCACAATTGTCATGAGTTCATATATGCAGCTGCCTTGCTGTTTCCTTATAGTTATCGGCTACCTCTGGCTCTTATACTCTTCCCACCACTCTCCCTATCCCAGTGACTCCTAAGCCATGGGAAGAGGTGTTAGTGCAGGGCTAACCATTCCAAAACCTCTTATTCTCTGCATCTTGCCTAGTTGTGGGTCATTGTATTGATTACCATTTTCTGCAAATAGAAACTTCTCTGATGAGGGTTGGGAGATGATTGAGCTTTGGGTGTAACAATAAGGCATTGAGAATCAGTTTAACATACCATGTCCATGGAGCAGAATAATAGTATATTCTCCTCCAGGGCCTTGGACCTGCATAGACAGAGATTCTTGGCCCCAGAATGGTGTCAGGATTGGAGCTCATCTTATGAGGCAGGACTTAAGTCCAATCAGAAAGTGGTTGATGAGTAAATCCATGTCCCTTGCTATTCTGTTCACAATAGCCAGAAACAGAAACAGCCTAGATATTCCTTGACTGATACTCAATAATGAAAATGTGGTACATTTACACGATTGAATATTATCCCGCTGTTAAAAAACAAAATTATGAAAATCACAGGTAAACAGATGGAGTGAGAAACAGTCGTTTGGAGTGAGGCAACCCATGTCCAGAAAGAGAAATGTTGTATGTTTTCTCTCATTTTTGAATGCTAACTTTGAATGTTCAGCTGTGTGTGTTACATTTGGAGGTTGGGGAATGGGCATGGGGGTCTTTCAAGGGGAGAGAGATAGTATGTAGTAGTATAAAGGTACATAAAGGGGATAAAGGGGAATAATGGAACAATAAAGGTTAAATTGAGGTGAGGGTGGGAGGTAAGGGTAGAGAGGGGATTGGGGAGAGATAAATAGCACTGAAGACTTTTTGAGAAATCATATGGGAGATGGGTGTCGTAGCTCATGCCTTTAATCTCAGCACTCAGGAGTCAGGGGCAGGTGGATTTCTGTGAGATTGAAGCCAGCCTGGTCTACATAGTGAGTCCCAGAACAGCCAGATCTATCTGTGTAGAGAGATACTGTCTCAAAAAGAAAAAAAAATGAGCAAAAGAATAAAAAGATCATATAGAAACCCTCTACTACAGAAGCTTACACACACACACACACACACACACACGCACACGCACACGCACACGCACACACACACACACAATTTCTCTATAATGGGGTATGATTTTTTTTCTTGCTGTAATAAAGGCCATGATCAAAACCAAACTTTGGAGGAAAGGGTTTATTTGGCTGTCTTAGTTAGGATATCTACTGTTGTGACAAAATACCATGACCAAAGCAATTTGGGGAGGAAAGGGTTTATTTGGCTTACACTTCTTTTTTTTTTTTTTTTTTTTTTTTTTTTTTTTTTTTTTGGTTTTTCGAGACAGGGTTTCTCTGTGTAGCTTTGCGCCTTTCCTGGAACTCACTTGGTAGCCCAGGCTGGCCTCGAACTCACAGAGATCCGCCTGGGGATTAAAGGCATGTGCCACCACCGCCTGGCTTTGGCTTACACTTCTACAGCACTGTTCATCATTAAAGGAAGTCAGGACAGCAACTCAAACAGGGCAGGAAAGCAGGAACTGATGCAGAAGTCATGGAGGGATGCTATTTACAGGCTTGCTCCTCATGGCTTTCTCAGCCTGCTTTCTTATATTCTTATAGAACCCAGGGCACCAGGCACCATTGGCTGGGCTCTCTGCTATAAATCACTAACTAAGAAAATTCCCTACAACCAATCTTATGGAGGCATTTTCTCCATAAGATTCCCTTCCTTCAGATAACTCTAGCTTGTGTCAAGTTGCCATAAAACTAGCCATCACAATGGCTTATACTTCCATTTCATAGTTCATCATTGACATAGTTAGGGCAGGACTCAAGGCAGGAACTGAAACAGAAACCACAGAGAAATGTAGCTTTTTGGCAGGTTCCCTATGGCTTGCTCAGCTTGTTTCTTCTCCTTCTTCTCCTTCTTCTCCTTCTTCTCTTTCTTCTCCTTCTTCTCCTTCTTCTTCTCCTCCTTCTTCTTCTCCTTCTTCTCCTTCTTCACACTGGCATTTACCTGGAAGCTTTGTCCCTACAAAATACCCTTTTATAGTGCTGGAAGGTGCTATGCATGCCACCAGAGGAGAAAAGTAAGCACTTGTCTGAACCAGCTGTGAACCCTGGAACTATAACAACAGCCTGGCAGTGCCCATTTGTGCTAAAAGTCTTGACTACAGTATTATACATCCAGGAAGGACTGCACACAGTACTTGACATGATGTAGGACTGAGTGTAGTACAACAATACTCCTGTCAAGGAATGGGTGTCGTTCTCATTCCCGTGTTCCAGAAGACAACATTGAGGAGCTGATGAATTGTCTAAGGGCACACAGTTAATAAGAGACATCACTGAGGTCTGAAGCTCAGCGTAGATATTCCTGACGGAGGTATGAGGGGGACTTGGATGGTCCTTCAGGATGCCGACATCATTGCTCTTTACTCACAGCCTTCTTTACCCACAGGTTGCAGTAAGAGCAAAGACATCGACTGACTGTAAAGAGATAGGTGGAGGGTGCCACAGGAACTCACACTCTTCAATCCCCTCATAAGTGATGGCTGGGAGTCTTTACTTGCTATTCTCCTATCCTTCCATCTGATTTATATGAAAGATGATTATAGAATATAAGGTCTCTGAGTCCAGAGCACAAATTATATGGATAGGTTCCATTTATGGAAGCCACTCCCTTAAGATTCAGAGGTATGCAAGTTCCAGTGATGAGTATTAGAAAATGCCTGGAAGTAGGATGGATTAGGAAGGCTCAGAAGCTGGGTGGTGGTGGTACATCCCTTTAATCCCAGCACTCAGGAGGCAGAGACAGGCGGATCTCTGTGAGTTCGAGGCCAGCCTGGGCTACAGAGCGAGTTCCAGGAAAGGCTCCAAAGCTACACAGAGAAATCTTGTCTCGAAACACCACCCCCGCCCCCGGAAAAAAAAAAGAATGCTCAGAAGCCCTTGGGTGTGCATGAGATTTGCTGGATGTGGTGGAAGGCAGCAGTTGGGAGTGGTACAGTAGATGAGAAGCTGTGGGCTTGAATACTAAAATGGGAAATGGAGGGACATGAAGAGTGAAAAACGATGTGCCTAATAACAGAACGAATAGATGGGCTCTCGGCTCACATGCTAGGGGTATAGTGGAGAACAGTGACTCAGATCTGCACAAATTTGGTTAGCATGATGTGGAGGAACCTATGTAAATTGTCTGGTAGAAAGGTGGAACTTTCCACACCAAGACTGGGTGAATTTCATTTGTCTATCTGCCTGTTATGGCTGATGCTGAATATAGTGTTCACTGCAACCTTGAGTAGAGACTGAGTGTCAATGGATGAAGAGCCTGGTGCCCTTTGCAGAAGGAAGCTAAGTGCAAGGGGCTGCCTTTGGGATGTCAAGTTAAATTAACTCAATGTTCTCTGTTGTGGCAGGGTTGTATGGCCTTTAACGACGTGGCTATCTACTTCTTGAGGGAGGAATGGACACTGCTTGATGACTCTCAGAGGCGTCTCTACCACCATGTGATGATGGAGGTCTTTGTTCTCATGTCCTCATTGGGTAAGCCTCCCCCACAACATTCTGTAAGAGCAACCTATCTTCTTTTCTAGAGAGAGATGTCTTCTTCCCAAACTGACCCATGGACCGTTGACTCTTCCCCACTATCCTGGAGTAGGAAATACAGGTGAAAGACATGGGCAGGGTACACTAACATCTTCTTTCTCCTAAGTACAGCAAAGGGACACAGGAAGTGACCTGAGGTGAGGAATATTATAGTAGCTTCATAGAGTTCACACTGATGGCCTCTCCATGACACTGTAAATACACGGCATTCCTATGTCCTGGGTACTGTTCTCTTCCTCTAGGTGACTTGGGTCTGCCTGTGGCAGGAATTGTGACACTGATATGGACACTATTTGGTGAATTTTCTTGCAAGATCTCTCCAAGGGTCTTTGTCATTAGTTTTCTTTCCTGTGGATTGCCATGAGCTACATCACTCTGACTTGGTATGGGACATTCACCTGTCCTGCTCTTTACTTTAGGACTCATACCTTCTGGGACCCGTGACATCACTCAGCTGGAGTCTTCAGATCCCTTCATTCCTGCACTGAGATTCCTGACTCCAAGTATGTGGATGGTACTTGGGAGGGTGGAGGTCGCTGATGTATGCACTCTGGATGGGTTCATATGAAGTATCTTTCTACTGGTTCTGATGTTTTGGTGCCAGAGCAAAGGATCATGGTAGAGTCCATCTGTCTATGTTTGCCCAGTTGCCTACCAGTCATTGCTGTTATCTCAGAGCCAGGACTCTCTCTCTCCTATGAGTCTTGTGTGTTTTGCCTGCTCCCCTGTAGCACTATATTAACACTGGATTTCCTTTATTGTGTTGTTAGTGTGCACAAGTCCCCTGAGCAGTCCTTGAATACAGGATCTTTGGGTGTTGTGTTTAATGGCCATCGACACAGCCTTCTGCATTGAGTTAAGCATCTCTGTCTTACAGTTTTTATTACTGTGATAAAACCATGACCAAAAACAACTTGAAGAGGAAAGGGTTTATTTCATCTTACATTTCCAAGTAATGGGTCCATCACTAAGACTAATTCAAGGCAGGAATTCAAGTCAAGAACTGAAGCAGAGGCCAGGGAGGAACACTGCTTACTGGCTTGCTCCCCATGGCTTGCTCAGCTGGGATCGCCTGACCAGGGGTGGCACCCCCCCCCATGAGCTGGCCTCGCCTACATCAATTATTAATAAAAAGAAATGACCCTTGATTATGTTATGGAGGCACTTTTACAATTGAGGTTCCCTATTCTCAGATGACCCTAGCTTGTGCCAAGCAGCGGGAAAAAAACCCAACCAGGACAGTCTCCAACAATTGAGGCTCTATAGAAAGCCATTTTCTAAGGAAGGAGTTCAGGTCCCCACCACTCCTCCTTGTGCTGCATGCCATTCTCATGTTGTTGCTCATGAGGTTTCCTGGGACAGGGATCTTCCAGCTTCATCACTGTAGTAGGCCCTTCCCATCTTGAAGTTTCATGAGACACCTCAGGTACTGATCACTTGTGTGTGTTGCCACTTCCAAGTCTATGTATCCTTTATCACTGTTTCTCTATGTTTGGATTGCTGCAAAGGAATTGTGGTTGAAAAGATACCTTGTAAGCAGAACACTTCCATGGAAGCAGGGCTTAATGCGACCATGCTCCAATCGCAACCACTGAGCTGTACTGAGACATCCTTACAGAGAGCAGAGAGCAGGATTTCAGTTGTGAAGAGCAAGAAAAGTGACTTTTCACAGAAGAGTTTACAAAGCACAGACAATGGGGTGGACCCCCAGACTCCCTCAGGTCCTCTTGGGCATCCTGTGACTCATGGTAGTGAGGAGCCACCCAGGAGCACTAAAAGAACAAAGGCTATTCGTAGTGAGAAGAGGAACTACAAATGCTGTGACTGTGGCAAATCCTTCAGTTGTAAGTCTCTGCTTATTCGACACCGGAGGATACACACTGGAGAAAAGCCTTTTAAGTGCAGTGACTGTGAGAAATCTTTCATCCAAAAGGCTGATCTGAATCAACATGTCAAAGTTCACACTGGCGAGAAGCCTTTCAGATGCAGTGAATGTGGGAAAGATTTCAAACATAGTCGCTCCCTTGTTGGGCATCAAAGAGTTCACACTGGAGAAAGGCCCTATAAATGCAGCCAGTGTGGGGAATCGTATATGAACAAATCCAGCCTCATTCGTCATAATCGACTTCATACTGGAGAAAAGCCTTACAAGTGCAGCGAGTGTGGAAAATTGTTTAAAGAAAGATCCAGCCTCGTTTATCATGCCCGAATGCACACTGGAGAGAGGCCTTTTAAGTGCAGCCAATGTGGGAAGAGTTTTAAAAAGAACTCACACCTCGTGAAACACCGAAAAGTTCACAGCAGAGGAAAACCTTTTAAGTGCAATGTATGTGGGAGATGCTTTACTGTGAGGTATATCCTCATTAAACATCAGAGATTTCACACTGCAACAAAGCATCATGAGTGCAAGGAATGTGGGAAAGTGTTTTGCTACAGGACTGGACTTTCTAGACACAAGAAGACTCATACTGAATAGAAGTATTGAGTGTCATGAACATGGGAAATCGTTTTCATCATCTACTACATGCATGCAAGGGAACATTCACTGGACAAAAATCAAGAATGTTTGAAGTGAGCAGCCTTCACCCACACCTCCATCCTGTTCAACTGGAGAGGCCACGGTGCTGGGATGCTTCATGAACCCACTGATTCTGGGAAAGCCTTTGAGCAAATGTCTGTTCTTATTAGTAACATATGTACAACCCAGATAGGTCTGTGAATGCAGAGAAAATCTTTGGCCATTGACCAACCTTATCCTAAAAGTGACCTTTGTGAGGGAGTCATTCATTGAAAGTTACTCATCAAATAAGAACACTGGGACAAGATGAGAATTATTGTCATCTTCCTATCCCCCCAAAATGAATGTTTTCTAGGAAACTTAGCAAGAGGAAGGTCTGTTTTTTGTTTTGTTTTGTGGGGTGAAGGGTTGCTTTTTTGAGGCAGAGTTTCTCTGTGTAGCCTAGGTTGTCCTGGAACTAGCTCTGCAGACCAGGCTGGCCTCGAACTCAGAGATCAGCCAGCCTCTGCCTCCCAAGTGCTGAGATTAAAGACACATGCACCACCACTAGGCCAAGCCCTGTGTTCTTGACTGCACCAGTGTGGAGTGGAGTTTCCATGAGACTGAGTTTGAATGGAGGAGGAACAGAGTGGTCTCAGTTTCAATAAGACATGGTTTTTGTTGTTATAGTTGTTTGTTTGTTTGCACTTGTTTTCTCACTAAATGTTGCAGTTCCTGGAATAAACGATTGTTTGCTGTATAGTCTTCATGACCGTATTGTTCCTAAGTGTCACTAGTTTTGTTGGGGACCAGCTCTATGTAGCACCTTATGCTCCCATGTAGGAGTATAGCCCATATGCTTTAGGTATTTGTTGTTTTTTTCAGGCGTAAGCATTTTTTCTGCATATCTGTACGTACATTGAGTACATGCCTGGTAAAAATGGTATTGGATTGCCCAGAACTGGAGTTACAGATGGCTATGAACCAGTGTGTTTGCTGGAAATGGATCCCAGGTCCTCTGCAAAAATAGTAAGTGGTCTTCAATACTGAGTCCTCTCTCCAGCCCAAGTTTTAAGTTTTTAAGAAGTTACCAGATTCAGTTCTAGTTGGCTGTGTGTTTCAGATTTCCTCCTGAAGTATTTCACATACCAGTTTGTCACATCCTCCCTGATACTTTGTAGGTTGTGAGGTGTTCACATGAGTCATTTTAACAACTATGCAGTAGCATATGACTGTAGTTTCATTTTTTCATTATGTTCATATATTATTATAAAGATTCATTTAATTTTGTCAGTTTATGTTAGAACCTGCAGGTATGTGTGTGTACCACATGTATGTCTGGTCCCCTTGCAGGTCAGAGTGGCCATGAGAGCCCCTTGAACTAGAGTTATAGATCCTTGTGAATTTCTAGTCAGTGCTGGGAATGGAACCAAGGTTATCTGCAAGAATAGCAGCTACTGTTAGCCAATGAGCCATTTCTTTGTTCTCCTCACTCATGTTTCCTTCCTTCCTTTTATTCTTTCTTTCTTCCTTCCTTTCTTCCTTTTTCTCTCTCCCTCCCTTCCTTCCTTCCCTTTCCTTTCTTCCTTTCTTTCTTCCTTTCTTCCTTTCTTTCTTCCTTCCTTCCTTCCTTCCTTCCTTCCTTCCTTCCTTTCTTTCTTTCTTTCTTTCTTTCTTTCTTTCTTTCTTTCTTTCTTTCTTTTCCTTCTTTCTTTTTTTCACTCACTATTTAGCCTTGGCTGTGCTGCATTCCCTCTGTAGACCAGGCTGGCCTTGAACTCAAAGAGATCCACCTACCTCGGCCTCCAGAGTGCTGACATTAAAGATGTGAAGTTGGGGAATGGTAGTGCACGCCTTTAATCCCAGCACTTGGGAGACAGAGGCAGGCAGATCTCTGTGAGTTCAAGGCCAGCCTGGTCTACAGGACAGGCTCCAAAGCTACACAGCAAAACCCTGTCTTGGGGGGAAAAAAAGTGAACCATCCCACTTAGCACCCACATTTCTTGCTAATTTTCTTCTATTATTTACTTTTTTCTTTTTGTTTGTATATGTGCTTATTTAAAAAAAAAAACTGGTTTCCAAGCTAAGAGACAGAGATAGGTGTATCTGTGAGTTGAAGTAAAGCCTGGTTTACATGGTGAATACCAATGCTACATAGTATGAACCTCCCTCTCTCTCTCTCTCTCTCTCTCTCTCTCTCACACACACACACACACACACACACACACACACACACACACACACACACACGAATAAAAAAAGAAAACAAAGAAAAATTTGTTTTCTCTTATTGTTTTAAAAGTTTTTGATATTTCTGTGAAAAATATCACAGTCTGTGGGTTTTTGTTTTTCCATTTTTATTTTCTGACAGGGTCTCACTATTGATCCCAGATGTCCTCAAACTCTTTCCTCTCCTCCCCCAGTCGCCTGAGAACTTAGATTGCCTGAGTGCCAACATGCCCAGGTGTCTCCTTTGATCTCTCAAGACTTAGGCATTTAGTCAACTTGCTGATTTAAGGCATTTTACTCTGAAGAGGTGAGAATTCTCTAACCATGAAGGTATAGCCACATTCATTCCTAATATAAAGAGTATAATTATGCCTATGAACAGAGACATGTGACATAGGATCTTCTAATGTCTGCACAGACTTCTGCCCATTCATGCTTTCCCAGACTAAAGGGCAGACCTCCTGCACAAAAGAAAATAGAATGAAAATTAAGCATACACTAAAGCAGTGGTTCTCAACCTTCCTAATGCTGTGACTCTTTAATACAGTTCCTCATGTTGTGGTGACCCCCAACCATAAAAATATTTTTTGTTGCTGGGCGGTGGTTGCGCACGCCTTTAATCCCAGCACTCGGGAGGCAGAGGCAAGCAGATCTCTGTGAATTCGAGGCCAACCTGGGCTACAGAGTGAGATCCAGGACAGGCTCCAAAGCTACACAGAGAAACCCTGTCTCGAAAAAAAAAAATTTTTTTTTGTTGCTACTTCCTAACTGTAGTGACGCTACTGTTATGAATCATAACGTAACTATTTGTGTTTGCTGGCAGTCTTAGGTGACCCCTGTAAAGGGTTGTTGACACACGAAGGATGGTCTTGAATATCATCCTCAAATCCCAAGTTCTGGGATTACAGCCATGCATCAGTATGTTTTGTTTGAAGGAAAACATTCTTAATCATGAGTATACAAGAAAGACATGAAGACATAAATAAAGGAGAGCCAGAAAAGAGTCAATCATGTCCCACTCACGAAATCAGCAAATTCCGAAAAGAAATAGAAGAGAAAGGATGAACAAATAATCCAACCAAACATGAACAAGCAACAAATTACCAGACTCAACAAACAGTCCCCAGTTATTAACCTATCTATAATAGTTTGAGCTCCATAAGACAAAGGCCAACTGCTTGGGTTCAAAGAAAAAATCTGACTGATTTTTGTCCACAATAAATAAATCACTCACCAAGAGATTTATAATGTAAAATGTAAAACAATGTGCAAAGCACATAGAAGACATAAACTAACCATGAGCAGTTAAACATATATCTGTTAAATTATACCTTACCTAAGATTGGATTAGATAAAACATGCTACAACATATTAATATGAGGAACAATTTGTTAAGAACTTGGAATAATAACTATACATGCACCAATTCAGGTACATGATTTTCTAAAATAAACATTGCTAGACATGAACAGATAAATATGTACAGATACATTCATAGTGGGTGACTTCAGTACCTCATTGTCATCAAAAGACCTGTCCCCTAGATAATAAAAAATAATTTTAAAAAACAGTGAAGAAATAATTGCAAGAGATCTTCAGACCATTGCAAATGGGCTGGACAGATGGGAGTGATCCACAAACAGACATGTATGCAAAACACATATACACATCAAAATTTAAAAAAGAGTATTTCAAACAACAACTATTGAAGATGAATTCCAGTAGCCCATGGAGCATTTTCTAACATAGATCACATTATAGACTATAAATTATGTTTTTGTTTGTTTGGTTGGTTTGGTTTGTTCGTTTTGGTTTGGTTTTTCCAGACAGGGTTTCTCTATGTAACAGCCCTGGCTGACCAGAAACTCACTTTGTAGACCAGGCTGGCCTCAGACTCACAGAAATCTGCCTGCCTCTGCCTCCCAAGTGCTGCGATTAAAGGTGTGGGCCACCATGCCCATTGTAAATGATAACTTAACAAATACAAAAGAATCAAAATGATTACTTATATCTACTCATATCTCAGTGCAATAAAAATAAATGTCAATAGCAAAAAAAAAAAAACTATTAGAAACTATGCAAAGAAAAAGCAACTGGCCACTGCTCTTGAGTGACCAGTGGATCAATAAAGAAATCAGAAGGAAAATTTAAAAATTCATATAATCAAATGCAAATGAAAATACCACTTACTGAAGGATAATGTGGGCTCAAGATTTTATTCCCAGCACTTGGGAGGCAGAGGCAGGCAGATCTCTTTGAGTTTAAGGCCAGCCTGCTGATCTACATAGAGTTCTAGGACAGCCAGGGGCACATAGAGAGACCTTGCTGAAAAATAAAAAAGGAAGAAAGAAAAGGAAAAAGGAAAAGGACCATACAAGAAACTGTTCTAATAATAGACACATAATAACATAATAGACACAATTCTAAAGGATGACTGATAGCTATGAGAGCTCTATTAGTTACTTTTCTCATCAGTATGACCAAATATTTAATATATACAAGCAGGGGACTTGAGATTTATACTGTCTGGTTTATGTTTCAGGGCAGGGAGCCCATGATGGTGAAGAAGGTACTGCAGCTGGACCAAGTCCACACACCCAGATGCACATGCATGCACAAACACACACAGATTAATCTTTAAAAATAACTCCAGTGGGGTGGTACATGCCTTTAATTCCAGCAAAAGTAGGTGAATCTCTGAGCTTGTGGCTAGCTTGGTCTACAACATGAGTTCCAGACAAGTCAGGGCTACAGAGAGACTCCCTGTCTCAAAAACGAACAAATAAACAAAACAACAAAAACTCAACAATAAACAAACAAAAATCCTGTAGGGATATCTTGCAATCAAAGATGTGTGATGTATTCAGCATTAGTGTCTTATCCTTTTATTCTGGTAATCAACCAAGAAGATGGCAGAAACTTGTAATTTTTTGGATGCCTCTGGGGCTTCCCTGGTTAACAACTCGTGAGCAGGTATATCTTCCACTCAGTATTGAGGCTTTTGTTTAATTACCTATTGCTTCAAGTAGGCAAGATATTCATGACTGCAAAATACTGGCATGAACTGGGAGTAAGCAACCACTCTTTGATGAGATTTAGGCCATTCCAAAGAAGGGAAGCCATGCCTGGCACTGTTAACCCAGTCAAAACTCATGGTTGGGTAGGTCACAGGCCTCAGATCAGAACTTAAGACTGTTGTTTAGCTAATAGACAGAGCATAGAACTGGCTACTAAATACGTGTCTATATTCATAGACAAATGCTACTCTCAGCCTTAATTAGAGAAGCCCTGCTATGGATTTAAGTAGATGAAGAGGCTCTTGTTCAAGGTGCTAATGATAAGCTACAGGTGAATGCTCAGCCATGGACAAGGCGTTTATCCTAGTCTCTGGAAGGCCAAGGGACACTGAAGAAGAGGAGACAGAATGGAAGAGCTAGAAGACTGGAAGGCTGTGAAATGTCATCTTCTGGGCAAGACATAATGATCCCAGTAACAGAGCCAGAGCATCTTCTGTTGTCTGTCCAGGGTTTGCACAAGAATGGAACCATTAATAGGGATGAACTGGGGAGTTTTTCAGGGTACCTACTTTTCCCTGGAGAACCATAAGCTATGGATAGATTTTGAGAGAAGGGGAGTTATTGGTTGTCTACCCAGTGTTGAGCCCAAGGAGCTCCAGTGAATAGTTTCAAGTAGATGGTCACACACCGCCCTTGTTTAAAACAGTGGGTAACAAAACAAACAAACAAAACCCAAGAGGGGCTGGAGAGATGGCTCAGCAGTTAAGAGCACTAGACACTACTTCAGCCTTGTTGAAGAAAGCAGGCTTTGTCTGCCCACCATCGGGACTCTGTTCTGTCATGAGGCCACTTTCCTTGGATGTATAAAGAATCCTTGTCCTTTTGCCCTGTGTCACTTTGTGGAGCTGGTGTTTGCCACATTTTTTGGTGGAAAGTCCAGCAGGTTTTAGGAATAGTCACCATGTTTACAGGAGCAATATTGTCACAGAAAGTAACTACAATCTTTAAAAGAGTAAAAATTAAAATAAAACAGGTCTCAGTCAGGAATATCAGCCCTATACCCAGGCTTGCTCCCGACCCAGACCCCAGCGTGCTGTAGCAATCAGGTAGGTCAGGGATCGTGTTTTTACCTCATCCAGAGTTCCCAGACCAGCTGACTGGGCTACCCAGAGAGGCACATATACAGGAACATTCCTACCCAACTCTTAGAACCAGACACACCATGGCAGTACAGATTTCAGACCTGTCTAGGTGCCAGAGGACAAAACTTTCTCCTCTCTCACCTTCCTACCTTCTTGGTTTTCTTTTACAGAGAATGTTTCTTTTCTTTCTCTTTTTTTTCATCTCCAAAAACATTTATTAGCATGATTGAAAACATTTTTTGAATAATAACAGAAGGAGATTTTAAACATGAATGAGTTATCTGTGGCTCTACCTTATAACCAGTATTTGGAATGGAATGGACAGTTTTATAGCCAGTCTTCATTTATTAAAAACAATCCATTGCCGGGCGGTGGTGGCGCACGCCTTTAATCCCAGCACTCGGGAGGCAGAGCCAGGCGGATCTCTGTGAGTTCGAGGCCAGCCTGGTCTCCAAAGCGAGTTCCAGGAAAGGCGCAAAGCTACACAGAGAAACCCTGTCTCGAAAAACCAAAAAAAAAAAAAAAAAAAAAAAAAAAAAATCCATTTATCAGTTCCATGACGTTATGACTATTGTTTTGTCTGGGAATGAGTCCCTACAGCAATTACATATAAAAAATATCTTTCATCATGATTGGAGAGTGACCTGTGTTGGAGCGTGACTCTGAGTAAAGAGTTGAATAAAAATACACAGAGTTGGATTTTTGTTTTTAAAAAATACTCCTTTATACACTACAAAGAAAGAATTAGTATTTTGGCTTTAAATTCCTTCATGATACTGAGAAGGACTAGAGAGAGTGTTTCTTGTGTAGTCCTGGCTGTCGTGGAACTCGCTCTGTAGACTATGTTAGTCTTGAACTCAGGTTCACCTGCCTCTTCCTCCCAAGTGCTGGAATTAAAAGTGCATGCCATTGTGCCTGGCTAACCTTCCAGTGTTTCTGCGCAATCTCCTCTGGGTAATGTAGTTCAGACAGCATGTACCACGGAGACCGGGACAGTTGTAAAACTGGAATGTAGAGAAGCGGTGTGCAAGAAATTAACGGGACTGCAGCGGGCAGTGTCGTGGTTACAGAAGTGCCAGGGTTCCTGTTTCCCAGAGCAGCTGCTGCCCAAATCTTTCCTTCTGAAGCGCATCCTCAGTGTCACAGCAAGGTGGTTTCCAAAGATGAATCCCGTTGTCCATCCCCAAATTTCTTTTCGCACAATAGGAAAATTATTCCTGACGACTCCACACTGGTGTGTAAAAACGAGAAGCATCGCCGGGCGTGGTGGCGCACGCCTTTAATCCCAGGACTTGGGAGGCAGAGACAGGCGGATTTCTGTGAGTTCGAGGCCAGCCTGGTCTACAAAGCGAGTTACAGGGCCGGGCGGTGGTGGCGCACGCCTTTAATCCCAGCACTCGGGAGGCAGAGCCAGGCGGATCTCTGTGAGTTCGAGGCCAGTCTGGGCTACCAAGTGAGTTCCAGGAGAGGCTCAAAGCTACACAGAGAAACCCTGTCTCGAAAAACCAAAAAAAAAAAAAAAAAAAGCGAATTACAGAAGAGCCAGAGTTGTTACACAGAGAAACCCTGTCTCGAAGGGGGGAAAAATAAGTGGGGCGTAGGGAAGCGTCTGAATCTAAAATCCCATGGTGAAGGAATCCTTGATTCCAAGTACGTCATTTTTGTCTTCCATGGTCACCATTCCTGTATTTAGTGGCACGGACCTGGTAAATACCATTTCACACAAGGCAAAGGTCTGAAATGCAAAAGTAAGCATTGCCCTATCTCATGCATTTCTGAACATCAAACAAAACAACTAGATCTCAGTATGTAGCCCTGCCTGGCCTGAAACACACTGTGGCAGGTTGGCTTCTAAAAACACTGAGCTCTATCTGCCTCTGCCTTCAGTTCTGTAATTTAGAAGAGTTCCAGCAAGCTTGACCTTGTAGCTCACCCCCTATTTCTAACCCACACCCAACTTGCCTCAGGTAGAAAACATTGGGGCGTCTATAATTACAATAGTCTCCACACCAGTCCCATGAAGTCCATAGAAACTGAGTCTCCTCCATCTGGGCAGTTGTGTCCAGAGCTGACATCTAGTTGATCCTATTTGAACTACATTGCCCAGAAATCATTGCAAGAAGCTCAACCAATGAAAATCGGTAGTTCAGTGACGACAATGACCGTTGGGCGGGACTTTGGGTTTTACGTGAAGGAGAGTCTTTGTAACTTCCTGGACCCGTCAGTATGGTTCACAGAAAACTGGTTTCATCTGAGTTGGCCATGACAGGAAAACCGGAGCGTTAGAAGCGTTTGTTCTTTGTCACAGAGACGGGTCTGAGGTTTGTAACGACACGTGTGACCTGATCCAGGCTTGGAGTAGGGCTAAGCCATGTCCCAGGGCCCCACCATCCTGTGGAGCCCGATGGTGATTGTGGAGGCTGCTGGTGGAGCCCTGCCTCAGGTGAGTGCCTCGAGATCGCCCGCCTACCTGAATTCTAGAGCTTTGAGATCTGAGTCAGGAACCGACAGGGCAGGCCCGGTGTCCCCGACTGTAGGACACTGGTGGACGAGATTATGGTTTTGACATCTTAAGTGCTAGAGAGCGATCCCCTCTGACTCACAACGTCTGGTAGACCATTCATCGAAAGGCTTGCAGGCCTGCCGGAGCTCAAAGACAGAAGCCCTGGAGTGACCCCTGCTGGCATTAGATGGGGGGAAAGGGCGCAGTGCGCCTAAGGAGCTTTTATTTATGGAGATGCTGGTGGCCACGGAAGATCTGAGCAGAGGAGAGACTTGATCTATTCGGAGTTTTCCAAACCTTCCCGGGGAATATTGGGCATGGATGAGGCGATGTGGATGGAGGGATGGAGACAGAGAACTTGAATCTTTGGGTATATCCTGTGGACTAATGCAGGAGTTGGGGTTGTAGACCACAGAAGTGGAGAGCAGTCTTCAGATATCTGATAGATCCCCCGCTCCCCGCCCGAGACAGTAGTTCTGGCGGTCCTGGAACTAGCTGTGTAGACCAAGATGGCCTCAAACTCACAAAGGTCTTCCAGAGTGATTGGATTAAAGGTGTGGCCTCCCACCTCGGGCCTCTCTGATAGATTTAAAAGAAGTACTTTCTTTTCCTTTCCTTTATTTATTTTTTTACGTGAAAACAATCATCATTTGAATAAAGTCTACTGTATTAACTATCACTATTTTTCCCCCCTTGAATTCACTGTGTGACTCTGACTGGCCTATGTAGCCCATGCTGGCCTCAGACACAAAGATCTGCTTCCCTTTCATTCCATGTGCTGCAATTAAAGGGGTGCACCACTATGCCTGGCTGATACCGCCCCCCCCAACACACACACACACACACACACACACACACACACACACACACACACACACACAAGGCTTTCTCTGTAGGACTAAAGGCATGGGCCACCCACCACCACCTATCTCCTAAATTCTTACTTAAATGTGTGTAGATAAAACGATACATTCTGAAATAATTGTTTAAGTGTTTGTGAAACTCCTGACACCACAAGTATTAGTCATGTGCCCAGGAAAAGCCTGTGCTGAGTACTTGTCACGTAGGACTGCGTTTGATGCAATGGGTTTCCTCTTCAGCCAGGACTGTGTGGTAGTTTGGATGAGAATGGCATCCATAGGCTCGTGTATTTGAATGCTTAGTCACCAGGGAGTGGCACTGTTTGAGAAAGATTAGGAGGTGTAGCCTGGTTGGAAGAAGTGTGTAGCTGGGAAAATTTGCCAATGTCCTCTCTGTCTCTCTCTGTCTCTGTCTCTCTGTCTCTCTCTGTCTCTCTCTGTCTCTGTCTCTCTCTCTCTCTCTCTGCCTGCTGCTTCTATATCAGGATGTAAAGCTCTCAGCTACTGCACTAGCCCCATGCCTCTCTGCTTCCCACCCTGATAATAATGGACTAACCCTATGGAACTATGTAAGCAAGCCCCACTTAAATGCATTCATAAGAGTTGCCTAGGTCATGGTGTCTCTTCACAGCAATAGAGCCGTAAATAAAACAAGCTGCCATTCTTATCCTCAGAGAACAAACTGAGGAGTTTGATTCCTTGTCCGAGGTCACTCAGTAAGAGACACCATTAAGGGATGAAGCCCATGGGGGCAATTGGGTGTACCTGACTACAGGTAAGTGAGGGGACTTGGATGGACCTTTGGGATACCAACACCTCGTTTGTTACTCACAGCATTGTTTTTCTGCAGGTTTCCCATTATTCAGTGAAACCTGCCAACCAGGAAGAGGTAAGTGGAGGGTGCTCAGGAAACACACTCCTCAGTTTTCACATAAGAGACCTCTGTGATTGTGGTGTCCTGGGACTCTTTGCTTGGGATTCTCTCTCTCTCCTTCCATTGGATTTCCTGGAAGGTGCTTAGAATGTAAGGAATACATGGCCAGGTTTCCATTTATGGCAACCATTGGCTTAAGTTTCCAAGGTCTTAAAGTTCCAGTGATGAGCATTAGCGGCTGCCTGGAAGTGAGATGGTAGGGAATGCAGAGGAATCCTCAGGTGTGCATGAGGTCTGCTGGATTTAGTGGAAGGTAGTAGCTGAGGCCTGGGCTTGCATACTGAGTTGGAAATGGCAGTTCAGTGTGAAGACTGATGTGTGTGCTGTGAGAGTATGTATAGATGGCTTCCTGGCCTTCCTGCCTGGGACACAGTGGATACCAGTGACCCAAATATGGTCTGTGTGAGGCAGATGATTGGGAGGAGCCCATGTGAATTCTCTGATAGAAAGGAGGGCCTTTCCATGGCATCCTTCAAGCTTGGATTGACTCCAGCTGTGGTGGTTTCAATGACCATGCCCCCCATAGGCTCATAGACTTGAATACTTGTTCCCCATTGGTGGGAGAGTCTGGGGAGGACTAGGAGGTGTGGCCTTGCTGGAGGAGGTGTGTCACTGGGGTGGGCTTGGAGGTTTCGAAAGCCCATGCCATTCCCAGTTAACTCTCTCTGGTACCTATGGTTCAGGATGTGAGCTCTCAGCTGCTGCTCCAGTGCCATGATGCCTGCTGCCATGAGGGTCATGGACTCCCTGTCTGAGTTGTGAGCCCCCAATGAACTCTTGGTTCTATAAGTTGCCTTGGTCATGGTGTCTCTTCCCAGTAATAGAAAAGTGACCACCTGCCCGTTCTTGCTGAGTGCTGACCAGAGTACTCGGTGGGCCCTTGAGGACAGACTGGATGTCCTAGCTTCAGAGCCTGGTACCCTCGGAGGTAGGAAGCTCAGTGAGAATGGCTGTCTTGAAGAGGGAAAGAGTCCCTGACAAGGAGACTTCACATAAACTCCACTTTTCCCTTTGTGGCAGGGTTGTGTGTCCTTTGAGGATGTGGCTGTGTACTTCTCCTGGGAGGAATGGAAACTGCTTGATGACTCCCAAAGGCTGCTGTACCAGACTGTGATGACTGAGATCTTTGCACTTGTGTCCTCTCTGAGTAAGGCTTTCCCTCCATCCTGTTAGAACATGTCTGTATTGACTTGGTTTTTTGTTTTGTTTTGTTTATCTACAGAGAGACAT